TCTTTTAAACTTGTTTAAAATATCTCATTGGTTGCTAAGATAGAAGGGGTTTGGGGGTTTATATAGGAAGAGGAAGCAACAACAAAAAACCCAAAGGAAAAGACCAAACAGCCTAAGAATCAGAAATCTAATTCTATACCAAAAGAGCCGTTAGGATAAACGGTGGTCGACCGCGGCGGTCGATCGCGAGCAACAAAAACAACAGGAGAAACTCCAGAGAGTTCGACGATCGATCGCGAGGAATTCCGCTTGACGGTCGACTGTGGCGATCGACCGCAAAAGTTTCTGCTGCCCACTATGGAAAAGACTCAGGCACGGTCGACCGTGGCGGTCGACCGTGAACTGATATATGAAATTTTACAGTTTTGAACAGTTTTCTGATTTTAAAACACTATTTAAAAATATCAAATAAATTCTAAAATATGTAAAACTTTGAGGAATAATTGTAGACATGATAATAAACATGTTACAATAACTGGTTTTCAAAAAGGACTTCCCAAATAAAAAATATCATCATTTTACAAAATAGGCCAAAACATAAAAATGTAAACATGTGAATTTTGATATTTTGGCTAAACCATGTTTTGAAACTTTGCACAATGATTATGTAGACTTAATAAAATATGTATATGATTATTATTATTAAATCCAAAAACTAAGAATATAATATTTTTACAAATACAATAGAAAATGAAACATATGAGTATGTATATGAAAATATATTTGTATCATATCTAAGTAGTTAAACCAAATCACAATAATAAATATAAAATATGTAATTTCATATTTGTAAACATGAAAAACCAAAACCATGCATGTATATATATAACTATATATATACATAGAAACCAAATACGTGTGTGTATATGATATTGAGCTTAAGGTACTTAACACACATAATATAAAACCTATACTAAGTTACCCAAGCTTGATGAAGGTCTTCAATGAGCTCAACTTGGTACACTTGCGGATGAAGCTTGAACTTGGATCTTCAACTTGAATTGTACATAGCTTCACCTACTATTCCGTCAACCTCCATTGAATATTATCGTTGAAGCTCTATTCCATCTATCCTCCAACTTGTTGTTTGTCTACAATAAATAAATAAACATAAATACTAGATAAACAACATTAGTCATAAATTGTTTGTTAAACATCATCAAAACAAGAAGGCCAACAGTTAGTAGCCACCAACTAACACTGTAGTCATGACCCACCAACTGTTACTGTAGTGACACTATAGCAACCTAATTTCTACAGTGTACACCTACAACAATATCACCTATAAATATCCCCCCAAAGTCTTCAGTGGAAATCATCCTAGAACCAAGAAAATAGAGAGAGAGAGAGAGAGAGAGAGAGAGAGAGAGAGAGAGAGAGAGAGAGAGAGAGAGCGAGAGAGAGAGAGAGAGAGAAAGAGCTATAACCAAAAATAGTAATGTGGACGGTATTGAATTAAGCCTTTAAACTTTGTTCTCTAGCTAGAACGATCACGAAATTAAATGAAATGTAGTCATTTCATACAGGACCACTGTACTAGCATGTTTTTAGTCACATATTCATGACGAATGTTAGATGTTTTTTATAAAAAAAATAGAATTTCACTAGTGTTAGATATGTCATCTATAATAAGTATCTAAGGTTGAAATAAGATCAGCCACAAGGGTCGCAAGCTGGATGTCGCAAGCTGGATATGAGTAGACGCTACAAGCGACGTCGCACTGATACCAACTGTAGATACATGTGCACAATCATGCGCATGTCTCCTAATTTTGCCTATTTTACTTTCATGGAATTAGTACTTCACAATTCTTGAAATTAATACTTCACAATTAATCATTTTTATAATTTATACCCCATGTCATAGTTTTTCTTTACGACAATATAATCTTTTTTCATGAAGTAATGAGCTATATAAATCTTCATCTTCTTTGCTATTAGCAGTTCTATTCATTGTGAAATTAATAATCTTGATGAGTATTCTTTTGAATTGATATTTTTCTTATCTTAACTAATATTACCAAAATTTAAGTGCAATGATATAATGATATCATAATACTAATTCTCATGCATTGCATGGGAAAAAAGCTAGATAGGATAAAAATGACAACTTTACAAATTAGAAAATTATAACAATTTTTTCTGGATATTTCTTTTGTTAAAGTCAGTAGCCACCAACCAACACTGTAGCCATGACCCACCAACCGTTACTATAGTGACACTATAGCAACCTAATTTCTACAGTGTACACCTACAAGAATATCACCTATAAATAGCCCCCCAAAGTCTTCGGTGGAAATCATCCCAGAAGCAAGAAGAGAGAGAGAGAGAGAGAGAGAGAGAGAGAGAGAGAGAGAGAGATATATATATATATATATAGAGAGAGAGAGAGAGAGAGAGAGAGAGAGAGAGAGAGAGAGATAAAGAGGGGGAAATAATGAGTGGTTGTAAAAGAGTGTAGTAGTTTTTTGTGGAGAGTGCTTGTATTGGAGAGAGTATAAAGGGTTGTACTACTAGAGAAATAGGAATAAAATATTTTTTTATATACACCACTCTTCTGAATTCAACAAGTGGTATCACAGCGGGCGATCAGGGACCGGCTCTCTCCTATGGTGATCCTATCAGCATTATTGAAGGCCGAAGTTCGTGCTCAGTCCGGGACTGTGAAGCTAGTTGGTCAGGGACTAGACTTGCGTGGAGATACTAAAGCAATACCAAGTCACAATGACGGATCTGGCATGTATACTACTATACTTAAGAAACTACAACAATAATTATAGCTACTGGGAGACTTGTACAAAGTCCTCAAGGACAAGACCTCTAGGATACGGTCACCATACTCTCCTCAAAGAAGAATATCGCTCAACTTCAGCTCCTTAAGAATCAACTGATGACCTTGTAACGAAAAAATTTGACAATTTTCAAGCAAGCAAAATCACTTTGTTCAAATATTGCTCAGTTATATCCTGATTCTAAGTGTTGGATGTGAGGATGTGAAGAATAATGATCCATGATTTAAGATCAGAGTACCATGGGCTTGTTGCTGCTACACATGAATGGTTTACTCAACTAACATTACTACATAGGAGTACGGAAAGGTTGGCTCAAGGAGGCAGCCAGGATGGCGGCCATACACCAATAGAACACAACAGAGTGAGGAGTAAGGTGATCATCGAGCAAGGCCACCTGACGGTAGCTTCTCTAACTATGGAAAGCAAAGACACTTCGCCAGAGATTGCCTCTACGAGAGAAGACCTGTAGAGGGCAATATTGCAACATCGTGCAGATGTCATGACGATGAAGAAGAATGGGATGCCCAAGCATCTGTGGACATCATTAAAGATGTATCAGTCGACGAAGAGTAGGTTGTTGATATGGCACTAACCTTGATCATAGAAGAATCTAAGCCCACATTTGTAGTGGTTTCAGACTGGGAAGAAATTAGTTATAATAAAGATTGAATCGTTGATTTTGGTTGCTCTAACCACATGACAGGAGACAAGGGGAAACTCATCAATATGAAGGAGCATAGAGGCCGTCAAGAGGTAGGGACAGCAAATAATTCAAGATTGCCTATCACTCATATCGGGAAGACCAAGTTCATGTCACGCTTCAATCTAGATCAAACTCAACTATAAGATGTGTACCATGTCTCATGTATGCAAAAAAATCTCGTATCAGTATCTCAGCTAACGGCTTCTGAAAATTATGTGGTATTCAGGCCACAAGATGTCAAAATCTATAGTAACTTGAAACCCTCAGGAGAACTTGTTATGGAGAGACGGAAGGTAGAATATGTCTATGTGATGTCAGCAGAATCGGTATATATAAATAAAACCAGGAAGAATGAGACGGTTGATCTACCACATGCTCAGCTTGGCCATGTGAGCTATCACAAGCTCAAGATCGTGATAGAAAAGTCAATGTTGAAGGGTCTTCCACACTTGGAGATTCAAGGAGGAACCATGTGCAACATATCAAGAAATATTGTATTTGATAAAGCCTCATCTTGGTGGACTCCATAATAAATTATGCTCCCAGACTCCAATGATCTAGAGGATTAGTTACATAAGAATTTGGGGGAGCCAAATTAAGAAGAAAAATCACAACATTCAAAAAAGATAGAACCAAGTTCTCCTACATCTCCGAAGGAAAAGACTCCATGGAAGACTAGTGTTCATCAAATAATATTAGAAGAGGAGCGCCCGAGTCAGATAGAAGATATTGGTGAAGAACAAACAGGATAGGTTCAAAGATTGACCAGACCTAGGAAGCCAAATCTCAAGTATGCTAATATTGTTATAATAGAAGATGCGAAAGAGCCATCCGAAAATGATGAATGGAGACAAGTTGCGAAAGAAGAAATCCAAGCATTCAAGAAGAATTTAGAATTTTACTTGGACTTATAGATAGAGAAGTCGCTGTAGAGGGCGAGTGTTAAAGTCAGTAGCCACCAGCCTATACTGTAGCGATATTGTAGGCACCAGCACGTTACTATAGTGATACTGTAGCAACCTGCTTTCTACAATGTACACCTGCCACAATATCACCCATAAATAGCCCCCAATGCCTTTGGTAAAAATCATCCCATAAGCAAGAAAGAGAGAGAGAGAGAGAGAGAGAGAGAGAGAGGAAAAAAGGAGTGGTTGCAAAACAGTGTAGTTGTTTGTAGTAGAGAGAGTATTTATATTGGAGAGAGTATAGAGGGTTGTACTACTAGAAAAATAATAATAGAATATTTCTTAGTATTCACCACCCTTCTTAGCAGAACCTGCAGGTTACCTGAGCAAGAGCAATTACTGATGGAGACGAGCAATTTGCCTATGAATCAATTCTCCCTTTATTTTTATTTTTTTTGTTATATTACTGCTGGACGTGTTTATTTATAGCCTTCAACAAATCCTTCTTCCTGATGAACAGAGGAGCTATTTCATCCTTCAATGAAAAACTGGACTTGGATCTGGAGGGGGGAGGGGGTGTTGACGGTATAACATGCACCTTTTACATTGACGTCAAAATGACCCCGTAAAGAAATATTCAGCTTCTGGTTAATCCTACTTCACACTGCTTGAAGGATCAAATAACATCAAAAACCAAAAATCTCAAAATAACTATACAATTCTCGCATCCTTCTCAGTGTATATACTGTCATTCGAACATAGAAAGTTCCGGGCCTTCCAACTTTTGAGGTTCATAAGGAATAGATGTAACAATGCTCTTCCCCTGAAGAGATGGCAACAAATGAGCAGTAGGGATTTTCTGTTGCCACACAAAATCATTCTCATGTTCGAATTTCTTCAACATTTCTGATGCATCCTTGACTTCCTCATTGAATATTGAGGTATATGGCTCATTCTTTGGTGTCTTCACTTTCTTTAGATTGGCTGTGGCATGGCGAAGAACTAAAATTGCTATTCCAATTTTTTCATTGCCCCTCAGTTCCTCAGCGAGACTCCTTTGGCTTCTTAGTTCGTGTAGTACTTTACATGTGGAAACTAATCCCTGACAAAGATAGTAGACTCACATTATTCAATTGATACAATGGTAAGTTAACTGTAAACAATAGTTATCATGTTAATGTAAGTACAGACAATTTCTATTTGATAACCCAGAAAACAAATTTGTCATGGAATGTATATTTCTAAAAAATTAGGCTTTGCAGTAAAGAATATTGATTCTCTTGAGAATCGTCGCATATTTTTGCTCTACGACTATCCATGTATATATGGTCCTCTTGCCAATATTGGTTGATTGGTTGCCATGCAGCATGAAGGACATCTTACATTACTAAAATGATTTCATACCTTAACCGCCGCTGATAGATGTCTAAGCTCTCCTGGTTTCGCATTCATGATACAAGTTGCTTCATCTAGTATCTGACTAATACCATAATGTAGCTTCGACAAAAGCAATGGACTGTTTTCCTTCTCCTCAGCTCTCTTGATAGTCACAGCCTGTTTCAAACATTCAGCATCCGAACTAGTAAATATCCTGAAAACATTTCACTACCAATTTAAAATGCTTCTTATGAGACCTATAATAGCTAGGCCATAACCCAATACTACAAATAAAACACTCTCGATCACAATGAAAGAGGAGGAAACATAAAGGAAGTTGAAGCGCTCATAAGAAACTTAATAGTGATAGAGTGATTCTATAATTCTTCACATCAACATACATCTTCAAATGCCCTCTAAACATTACACCAAAACTTCGAAGTTGTGATGAGGGTTGAGAGTTATAGTTTTATATTCTAGCATGTCCCGCCGGTTGAACGCCCTTTTTATGGACCGGAAACCTAGATTTGCACAATAGTATCAATTTTTTTAAGAAAATCCCCTTCAAATTTGTGGACGGTGGGATTTGAATCTCGGTTGCTCTGTTGCCATCGTTGATATCATCTTGAAGTCCCCTCTAACCATTACACCAAAACTCGAAAGTTTTGATGAGGATTGAGATTTATAGTTTTATATTCCAAGTTTCCAACAAACATTTAACACATACAAAAAGATTTTTTTCTCCACATACACATGCATGGAATATTTTCAATAGATTCAACAGGGAAAACAAAGAGTATATAGCAAACTGACCTGGGCATCAGCCAAGCATATAATTCTCATAAGAGAGGATAAAGATGAAGTAGCTTCTACTGGACTTTCATCAGGCAACAAATACTTCAGAGGAGGAAGTACTTTCTCAGCAAGATAACTAAAAACTCCTGCAGCTTTCCTAAACAACGTAGCACTCTCTACTAGTTCACCTTCAATAAAATCAAAGGAAGCATAAGCCAAAACCACAGAACTAATCAAATAAATTGAGAAATTTATTAAGAAAAGATACACGTCAACAACCTGTTGATAAGGTTGCAAAACCCCTCTCTCGTAGAACGGCACCATAGAGGAAAAAACTCATTCCAAGCTCAAACCGGAAGCTATAGATATGGTAGAACTTTGGACCACCGATTTTTAGGCAACAAGATGAAGTCATAGAGCTAGACCATTTTAGTTTTAAGCCACACATCCAACAGAGTATAGGTGAAGGCTTGGGATGAGAATCTGTATATGCTAACAAGTGCATTAAGAGAGGTATATATTGCTCCAGCCTCTGTTGATCCTGAGGAATTGTTCTTAGACATGTAAAGCATATGATAATATGACAATATACAGTAATAAATAGAAATACAGCTTATACAGATACACCTCTTGTACTATAAGGCCACAGTAACTTATCATCTTTGATGCTTGATATCAATAACAAAAACTGATGATAAAGCACCGGGGCCTGATGGTTATAGTATGTCTTTCTTCAAAAATTCATGGCCTGTTATCGGAGAAGAGATCACCCTGGCAATTGAAACTTTTTTCAAAACTGGCAAGTTATTGGGGACTGCAAAATCCACTTCAATCACACTTATACCAAAGGTAAAATGTCCTAAAACCCCCTCTGATTTCAGACCAATCTCTTGCTGCAATTGTATATACAAATGCATATAAAAAATAATTGCAAATAGGATAAAACATGTTATGGGACATCTAGTGAATGAAGCACAAAGTGCTTTTGTCAAAGGGAGACAGATCTCTAGTAACATCATGTTAGCTCATGAGTTGGTTAAAAGCTACAGCAGGAAAAAAATCTTGCCAAGGGTTATGCTCAATATTGACATCAGGAAAGCATTTGGCACTATTAGTTGGAGGTTCATCAGAGATATGCTTATGGGGTTAGGTTTTCCAAATGTGTTGATTAATTGGATAATGGTTTGAATTACTACTCCTAAATACTCTATCTCCCTCAATGGTGGACTTCATGGATTCTTTAAAGGGGAGCGTGGATTGAGACAAGGGGATCCCCTCTCTCCATATCTCTTCATATTGGGTATGGAGTATTTCTCAAGAAGCATGGTCTCCTTAAAAGAGGACAGATCTTTCAAATTTCATCCTAACTGCAAGAAGCTGAAAATCACTCACTTAATTTTTGCGGATGACTTGCTTTTATTTGCTAAAGGTGAAGCAGTTGCTGTTCAAAAGTTATATCAGTGCATCAAGCACTTCAGTGCAGTCTCAGGCTTAGAGGCAAATCCAGACAAAAGTTCTATTTACTATGGTGGAGTGGAGGATACAGTTAAGGCTAATATTGCTAATATTCTTGGTTTTAAAGAGGGGAATTTTCCAATAAAGTACCTTGGAGTACCTCTTATAACTAAAAGGATTTCTTTCATGGATTGCAACCCTCTGTTTGAGAAAATCACAGGCCAATTCATAAGCTGGACAAAGAACAGAAAATTATCTTATGCAGGCAGGTTACAAGTTATTAAAAGTGTAATACTTGGAGTGCTAATCTACTGGACATCAAATTACATCTTGCCTGTTAAAGTACTTCACAAAATTGATGAGATTTGCAGGAAATTTCTATGGGGTGCAACTGATCAAACCTGCAGGGGTTCCCTTGTGTCTTGGGATAAAGTATGCTTAGGGATGAATCAAGGTGGCTTGGGGATCTTTTCAGCTCAAATCTGGAATATTGCCTCAACATTAAGAAGCATATGGTACTTACACACCAATAAGGAGTCACTTTGGGTCAAATGGATCCATGGAAAATATCTTAAACATGGAAATATATGGCAAATTAGAGCAAAACCAGATGACTCTTGGTTGTGGAAGCAAGTGATCAAAACAAGGGATAAAGTGTTGAATGAATTTGGAGGTGCTGACAATGTGACAAACCTTATCAGGTCGTGTTATTCCAATTCAAAGCTAAAGCTTTCAGCATTATATAGGAAACTCTCCCCTGAAGCAAACTTAGTCCCATGGCATAAAACTGTTTGGGGAGGACTAAATGTTCCTAAACATTCTTTTATCAGCTGGTTAGTAGTTCAAAACAGACTCCTTACACAAGATAGACTGATAAAGAGGGGGATCATCAGTACAAATTCATGCTGTTTATGCTCAGGTGCTAGTATGGAATCGAGGGATCATTTGTTTTTTGAGTGTAACTTCTCTTGCTACATATGGAATTCTATCATGGACTGGTTAAATTTTCGGTGGAAATCATGCAATTTGAGATTGCTGTTGAACTGGTTCACAAGATCAAGAGGCAAAGGAATACAACCACAGCTCAGAAGATTAGCACTGACGGCATCAATATATATTCTATGGCAAGAGAGGAATGCAAGGCTTTTCACTCAAAAATTTAAAAATGCGGAGCATCTAGTCAAGGTCATCAAATTTGAAATCTCAACCATAATGCTTAATGATCCTTCATCTCACTATGGGGTCAAGTTGATTTGAAGAGTTGGTTACAGGTTTTGTAACTTTTGTTTTTTGATCTCAATAACTAATACACTGAGTATCTTGATGTACAAATTTTTTCCATATTTGGTGGATGAATAAAGCTTTTCATTTACCAAAAAAAAATAACAAAAACTGTTGGAAAAAAAGAGGAGAAAACAAGAATATAAGTTTTATTAAAGAAAATGTTTCATTTACTCAATTTTTGCCAACAAAGAGAATGGCCAAATATAGAGGTCTTACACCAACTTAAACTCCTAGAAATCAGCAACAAACAATTCAAAAAACACATGACAATTGACTAAGTAAACAACTAAATCACTACTAACATACTATCCTGAAAAATAGGAAACAACCTAATAACTAATTTTGAAACAGTTATTCAACATTCCCCATTGATTCAAAATTTCTTGTCATTCCTCTTGAGTCTTCATAGAGCATTTCTCTCCATAATCTTATAAATCACTTCTCTTCATTTTGTGATGCACTTCTCATCTCTATCTTGTTGATGCACATAATCACCAACATTTTTTTAAAGGAGCACCTCTCTCCACAAATATTGAGCATGGTTCGGTCCAAACCGAAAAAACCGACCGAACTGACCCGAACCGACCCGAAAAAATCCATTTTATGAGTAGGGTGGTTCGGGTCGGTTTAAAAATTTTTCAACCCGAACCGACCCGAACCGACCGAATATAGTGCAATACTACTCATTCTGATCTCAAACCCCACCCGACCCGTCCCCAAAGAGTCAACCAAAGAGTCAGACTCAAACCCTAAACTCATTTTCTGATTCATTATGGGTTGAAAACAATATCATTATATTAGTATTTAATGCTTCATAATCTCCTACTTTGTTGATATCTTTTTTTTCTTTAACACAGTTTGTTGTTTGATAAGCATAATCTCCTACTTTGTTGATATCTTTTTTTTCTTTAACACAGTTTGTTGTTTGATAAGAAATTTGATAAAGTTAGAACCGAACAAACCGAACCGACTTGCAACAGTTCGGTTCGATTTTGAATTATAGGCGGTTCGGTTCGGTTGTTCAAATTTTGATAAAAACCGAACCGTGTTGGCCTTCTTGTTTTGATGATGTTTAACAAATAATTTATCACTAATGTTGTTTGTCTAGTATTTATGTTTTCTTACTTATTATAGACAAACAACGAGTTGGAGGATGGATGGAATAGCGCTTCAACGACGATATCAAATGGAGGTAGTTGGAGGATGGATGGAATAGCGCTTCAACGACGATATCAAATGGAGGTTGGCGGAATGTCGGTGAAGTTTATGCAATTCAAAGTTAAAGATCAAGTTCAAGCTTTATCCGCACGTGTACCAAGTTGAGCTACAATGAAGATCAAGATCAAGCTTGGGTAATTTAGTATATGTTTATATTATGTGTGTTTAATACGTTAAGCTCAATACACACACATTTATTGGTTTCTTCGTATATATATATATAGTTATATATATAAGTATAATATATATATATATATATATATATATATATAATACTATATATATATATATGATATGTATATATTATATGATAATAATATATATATATATATATATATATATAGTTAGTATATATAGTGCATAAGTTTTTTGTTTTCTAGGTATATATATATTTTATACATATATATGCATGCGTTTTGGTTTTTCATGATGTTATTAATAAATCACATATTATATGTTATATTGCTGGTTTTTTGAAAACATTGGCATAGAATATGCATTTTGTGAAAATATGTCCTTAGTTAGTTATATAGACTTCAATATCAGTTATACATTTGTACTAAAGTCTATAGAAACATTTCAACAAAGTTTCAAAAGTTGTTTAATGTCAAAACACTCAAAATTCACGTATCTCATAGTTCTTCATATTTTGGACTATGTTTGTAAAACTGATGAGTAGTGTCTGTGTGGATTGGGGAAGTCGCTTTTTGAACCACGTCATGTGTAGCATGTTATATCATTGTCTACTATCATCGCCCAAATTTACAGTTTTTTGGAATTATTTGATATTGTTAACAGTGTTTTAAAATCAGAAAAACAGATTTTCAGAAACCTAATTTATATATACGTCCGGCTCGACCGCCACCGGTCGATCGACCAATGGTTCATTCTCTCACTGGACCGAGAGATTCATAGGTCGACCGCCGCGGTCGACCGAGAGCTTTCTCTCGGCGACGTTCAAGTCCGGTCACCGGTCGACCGGATAAGTCTATACTTGTTTTTCTCGTTTTTGACCTGGATAGCGGTCGACCGAAATTTCCGCCGGTCGACCGCCTATATGACCGTTGCTTTCCCAATGGCTATTTCCTGAGCTGATTTGCTGGGGCTGTTTTTGTCTTTTGTTTGGGTTTTGGCTGAGTTTTTGAGTGGGTATAAATACCCTATTGCTGCTCTCTTTCAAGCAAGCCAAGAAGTTTTTAAAGAAGTTTTTAAACAAGATTTTAAACAAGGGTTTAAGCTTGTTTAGTTTGGTTTAAGTTTGTTTTGGGTTTGCTGTTACAAAGGGGAGTTTTATATCAGCTATTGAAGAGTTCATCTTTAACATTTCATCATCCTCTCTTTGTATCTAGAGAAGTTTTCCTAAACTCAACTCTAGCTTTTATTTATTAATTATTTGTTAATTATCATTTCTATTAAAGCTAGTTTTAAGTTGAAATAGAAACATTAATTCATTATGAGATCTCTTGGGCTTTATATAGGCCCCTTACACAACTTACAAATAAGTCCTAACTAATACTAATATGTCAACACTCCTCCTCAAGATGGACGAAAGATATCTACTAAGCCCATCTTGTCACATCCTCT